TCTGACGATGACGTGATGTCTTGCTCAACCGCAGTTTGACACCGTGATACACCGTGTATCTCTCTGTGTAATTGTAGGGTTGTATTTCTTTGCCCGCGGTTTGACTTGACTATGTGTGCGTGTGTGTCTATATATATATATATATATATATATGTGTGTGTGTGTGTGTGCATGTATGTACAGTACGTATATATGCATATGTATCTGTATATGGATATGCAGCTAATATGCACCTGCATCACTTTTGCAGCTGCATCTGTAGGGGTATGTATATGTGTGTATGCATATACATATATACACAAACACACACATGTACACATGCAGATGCGCATATGTGGGCTTTTCGAAATGCACTATGTGCTCTCATCTACTCTGCGAACAAATGACATTTCATCTGCAGAGACGCATAACACACATCTCCTGGCAACATACACTGAAATTGGATGGCGATTTTGTGACCAGGCTTCATGCTTTTTACAACCTTTGTTTGGAAAGGGGCATTGGACGAACGAACGTGTTCCAGGGCAGTGGCTGCCGGAAAGTTTTCTTGTTGTGATGTTGTGAAAGAAAACTAGCTCTTCACTGCGAAGAGTGGTAGCGACCACAAAGTAGCGCTTCAATGAGATTCCTGCCAAATGGGATCCGTTCTGGCATGCTTGGTGGGCTCGCTACTCTTGACAGACGTGACTTCGTGCCCATGATCACCCATGTACGGACCCGACAAATACCGTACTATGGCAAGGAAGCCTTGTGTGTGGGTGTGAAGTACTGGGGAGTCGAACTCAAACCTATCCACCTTCCGCACAACCCATGAGAACGGACCCTCAACATGGAAGCATAGTGCAGGCCAAACTCCCACAGTCTTAAGATGGCCCTAGCCTGACAACTGAAAAGGAATGGAAACAAAAATCAAAACAAGAAACCAGGACCGACCCAGGGAATTTAAACAAACAAAAGAAAACTAAACTAAGGAAAAACACAAAAATACATCAAAAGAAAACAAACGATAACTTCGAGCATCAGGGCAGCAGGCACCACAGGTTCAAAGATCAAGGACCACCCTGGACAAGCATTCTGAGTTTGGCTTTTGTTCCCAGTTCTTTTCCATGGCGTGAGGGTGGGATTTGGGCTCGGTCCGAAGGGGCCTCCATCCTCGAAAAAGCACGAATTCCCTGAAGCATTTGGAAATAATGTGAGAACTGCGAAAAAACGTAACCAACAAATAAGGAAACAAATATTGCTCGGGCCTGCACGGGGAGTGTGGGAAAAAATGGAGCAAAACATCAGACGCCAAGTGCCCCCTCCGACCATATCGGAAAGACGTTGAAGTCAGAATGCCACTGGATTCCAATCCCGCTTTTCCAATGTTTTTGATTGCGAGTTTGATCGCCTGAATACCTTGATTCCATCTGCAATCTAAAAATACTTGATTATTCATTATTTCCCGAGATAACAGCATTAACAGGACCGGGACATCTCGGGACATCATAGCCATAGTGACACCCAGCTGCGCAACACTCCAACCGAGAACTGCAAACTGCAATCCCGTTAATCCTGCTTTTTGCCGTTGTGGACAAATTAATTGTCGTGCCTTACCATGTGTCGGTTCAAAGCTTTCTGCTATGTGCACGTGATGTTTTTCTTTGACTGCTTTCATGGTTGGATCTTCTGAAGTCTCATATGTGGGCCTGTATGCTAGCATGACGGCTTGTTCCTTGTCAAGAATGACGTTGCAATGGGAAACCCGTCTAGAACGTGGCTTTGTTCTTACAACTCGTAACGCAAAGGGTGCGAGCCAATTAGACCCCTGAACACCGTCTGTTGGTTTTGAGCTAGCCTCGAAGGCGACAGCCTGCTGCACAGCTGGCTAAGAGCCTCCGCTCGCGCCTGAGCGTTCTGAAACTGGCTCCGTTTCATGCCACAGGCTGCAACAGACGCAGTGCCTGGGTACGGGTGTCCTCCTCAATCTCATCCTCGAAGGTGCAGAAGCTTTCGCAACTCACACTCCAAGTGATTGAGGATGGCCTGTGCCCCTACCATCGCCTGCTGCTAGAGCATCGCTCAGGAACCATTCCTACCACATCCCCACCCGTCGTCCAGCACATCCGCGCTGTCGTAGAAAAGAGGCTTGCGATTCGGGGAGAAGTCCTGGCGAGTGAAATCTGAGGACCCTTGGAGGCAGCAGCATGACAGACTTGGTTTCGATCGCAGTGTATCCGTTCACCTCTGTAGCCTGCATCAATCAACAGTCAGGTGGACATGTTTCACATGGTCCCGAGTCTCCTTCTTTTGCCGAGCTGGGAGACCGCCGCCAGTGCCCCCATCGTTGCCGGGCGTCATGCCCATCAGAGGGATGAAAATACGACGGCCTCACGTGCGGTACATGAGTAACAGTGATACGAATAGGGGTAGGAGTATAGCACGCCTGCACGTTGACGTTAGTAGAGTTTGGGGATGGGGGTGCTGGTGATCCCACGCAGTTAGGAATGGACGGGCGCGGTGGTGATTCGACACACTTCGGGTGGACAGTGTTTGGGTTTGGGCATGGATGCTTTGGTGATCGCACACAATGAGGCATGGACGTTATTCAGGTTTGGACATGGATGCTCTTTCGATCGCACGCGATTCAGGCGGGACGTTACTTGGGCAATTAGGCACGGACATTGCTAGGGTTCTTGGGCATGAGTGCACTGGCGATCGCACGCCGCCATTAGCCATGGACTTTGTTAGAGTTTTGGCCGAGGTGCGGGATGCTCTGGTGATCGCACAAAATTAGGCATGGATGTTACGAGGGTTTTGGCATGGACACCTACTACTGCTACTACAAGCTGCTATTGCTACTGCTACTGCTACTGCTACTGCTACTGCTACTGCTACTACTACTACTACTACTACTACTACTACTACTACTACTACTACTACTACTACTACTACTACTACTTTTGAACTACTGCTACCACTACTACTACTACTACTACTACTACTACTACTACTACTACTACTACTACTACTACTACTACTACTACTACTACTACTACTACTACCTCTACTGCTACTACTACTACTACTACTATTACTACTACTACTACTACTACTACTACTACTACTACTACTACTACTACTACTACTACTACTACTACTACTACTACCTCTACTACTACTACTACTACTACTACTACTACTACTACTACTACTACTTCTTCTTCTACTACTACTACTACTACCACCAGTGCCACTGCCACTGCCACTGCCACTGCCACTACCACTACCACTACCACTTGAGAAGAGGGCCACGAAAGCTAGGGGAGAGGAAGCGTAGCTGCGAGCAAGTGGGGCACGCAGCGCAAACGACAAACTTCAAACACAAGCAAAGTCAGGGACCTTGTGGAAGGAGGGGGGGGGGGGGACCTGGGTGGGTAGGGGGGGGGGGAGCCCCCCCCCCACCTTGTCCCACGCGCCGCAACCTTAAAGGTGGGGGGGGGAGGCGGGGGGAAACCACACCTTGTCTCTTCAAAATGCTTCATGAGCGAGGTGAGGGGGGGGGCGGCCCCTCCTCCCCCCCACCCCCCCACCTTAACTCTTGGACGTCCCACCTGATAAGGTGTAAGCCCTGGTTTTGCCCTAGTGCCTTAATACAAGGTAGACCAAGTGAAAATTGCTAAAGGGCAACTCCCGCGAGCTCAACAGAGCTAGCTTTCGTGACTACCAATTCAATTGGACGCTGCGCGAGCGGGTTCAACGCATTGCGGGCGATTGCCGCACTATGCACTCACTTGCCTGTGAAACTGACCCGATGACCTTACTATGTCTGGTTTATCCTCGTCGTGAAATGTGTGCCTAGGGGACCGATCCACGCTATGCTGCACCGTTACCTCTTAAGGCCGTCATACACTTGAGACTTGAGACTCCGTCCCCATCTCCACCGAAACAATGATGCCTGTTGCGGGTGCCGCGTATCCTCGAAGGGACCGTCAGGCATTGGAGAGGTTTCAGCAACGGTCGGGAATGGCGAAGTGAGGGCATATGGCATTTGGCGGCGGTACCTGCAGCCATTGGTGTGCTAGCCATCAATGCAAGTCATGAGCTTGGCAGCGCAGCAGAAAAGCCAGCGATCTTCACAAGCTTGCCAGGAAGATTGCTCATTGCGTGGGCAGTGCCTTGTAGAGAGTAGAAAGAGTTTTCAGACCGGCGGCCCCGCCTCCGTGCGACCAGTTTCTCCAGTTCCAGCTGCTGCTGGATCCCGATCCGGATCCCTGCTGCCGCCCGTGGCCCCGTCCAGCGCTGATGCGGCTCGGCCGAGCTTCCCCATCCCGAGGCCGCTTGTCAGACTGGGTAGAGGGCTTCCACCTGACGTTTGTCCCGGCTTTGCTGTTGTTCGCGCTCGCGCTGCCGGTTCCACAGGTAGGCGGCCGTGTCCCCTTTGTTGTGCTCAATCCGGATTTTCCTTTGAATGCGGCCCTCCTTGGGCTGGTAAATGATCATGCGGTTGAGACCAGCACACTTCCGGCACGTCTGGTCGTAGGTGCACCTGATGGTGGAGGCGACGATCTCGAAGTTCTCATCAGTTTCGAGGATGCTGTTCATCTCCGGCCGGTCCCACATGTGCTGAAACAGGGAGCCACTACCACTACTACCACTACTGCTACTACTACTACTACCACCACTACCACCACTACTACTACTACTACTCCTCCTCCTACCACCACTACTACTACTACTACTACTACTACTACTCCTGCTACTACTACTACTGCTGCTGCTGCTGCTACTACTACTACAACTACAACAACAACTACTACTACTGCTACTGCTACTGCTACTGCTACTGCTACTGCTACTGCTACTGCTACTGCCACTGCTACTGCCACTGCTACTGCTACTGCTACTGCTACTGCTACTGCTACAAGCGTCTCGGCTGACAGGGGCCAGGGGCCCTTCGCAGATAGTCAGGAGCGAGCCATTGCGTGTGCTGTGCAGCCGTGTTCAAGTGAAAACCAGGAATGTCCGGTGAGTGCACAGCACAAAGGCCTTCTGCCAGTTCTGCTTATGAAGTGGAGCAGCGTCACGCTGCAGCTGCTTACATGTGTGATTGGTTGGGTGTCGATTTGGATACAGGGGACTACCGTCCGACACAGACCTGCTGGCACCCAAACTCCAATAAAATCACCATGCTTGATGACACTGTGTACGCGAGGGAGCTCTTCAGCAGGCCCTCTGCCAGGGCCCACTTCCACCACAGTCTTGGCTGTGAAATGCTGCGGGCCTCCTGGGCCCACGGAGGTCTTATTGCAAACTGGGAGTTCTTTGCAGAGTGGGACCGCTTCTGGAATTCAGATACTCACCCAGCCCGGGCGTTGCAAGCTGCTAGACGTTCAGTATATGCACCGGACGAAGTGGAACTTCATAAATGGTGTGGCCTACACTACCCCAGCTGGCTCCCATACCTTTGGCCACAAGGATTGCCCAAGCCCTCTGTTGCACACGGCAAGACGCGACCTTCCTTTGACCTCAACAGCATGGACTAGACCCGACGGCCTTTTCAGGCGGCTTTGCCTAGGCCGCACGAGTCGCAGATGGAGGCGACGCTGGCCGGTCTGCAGGAGAAGGTGCGGACGTAGACGTCGGGCACGGGCCCGATTGTGCGCTCCTTTCTGTGCTAGGCGCTGGAATGCGGCACTCCAACGGTGCATGCTGTTCACGTGCCCTCAACATGTTCAGTGGGTGTTCCTTCAGATGCGGCAGTCTTTCATGAAATGGTCACTTGCTTCTGCACACCTGGGGCACGTGCAAGCCAGATCGAAGTTCAACTCTGCATATACGGCTCAAGGTCAAGGGTTTGCGGAGGACTGGGCTTTGCAGGCCACCTGCTGGGTGCCTGTGATGACGACGGAACACCGTTCAGCCTCCCACGACTCCCGCGAGATTGCTGGCAGTGAGGATGACGAGCCCGTCGAGGAATACACACCGGAAGGGACTCCTCTGCCTAGGGGCCCACCACCGCCAGCGACAGTTCAATCGGCCCAGGGCATCAGTCATGCCATCTCGACCGGGGTGGCCGAGGTCCTAGCACGACGCGGGGTGACTCTCAGACGTGCCTTGACGTTGCCACTTGGCGACATAGAGGCCATGGACTCCCTGCGCATCGACGTGAGCTTCATGGGGAACCGCTTGGCGAATGCACATCCCAACACGATTTACTTCAACCCGACCGAGGATGAGACGGTGGAGAGCGCGGAGGAGAACCCCGGAGATGGTGACCTCGGGATGGTGCAGCCCTCCCAGCGACCTCCGAGGCGGATGTCACCCGTGACATTGTGGCGGCCATGGAGAGGGAGGGGCGTAGCACCATGACGGGAGAGGAAGCCACCAGGCTGGGCAACACGGAGCTGCAGGCAGTGATCAATGATCTCGATGACGAGGAGCGAGCAGCGATCACGTGGGGCCCAGGAACAGCAGCTGGGATGAGTGCAGCCTCCGCCCCGGAATCCCATGCGGTGGCGATTGCTCCGGTTACGCCTCCACACTACACCGATCGGGAGCGAGGTGGAGCAACGGCCAAACCAAAGGTCGGCAGAAAGCAGGAGCCTCAATTGTTGGAACCTCCAGTGGGTAGCGCGCAGAGATCAGAACTTCTTGTGATTAAGCGTTGCCTCCCACACATTCGCTTAGGCGACGCCACAGTGAAAGCACTCTCTAGGTCCCACTTGTGTTCAGGGATCGGGGAAAATCCCCAACGAGGGCCTGTACGGCTCCATCCTGCCACAGCAACCTCTCGGCGATCGTGGATCAAAAAGAATGCTGCAGTGAAGACGTTTGCCAGGGAGATTGTTCTCATTGCTCTCACTATTTGCTTGTACTGCACCTGGGTGGCCAGGTACTCTACCAGCACCTCCTACAGAACTCAGGCGCGTGCTGCCTCTCGAATGTCTTGGTTCCTCAGCTTTGTCACTGCCCTACCAGAGCGCTCCTACAGGTCCTGTTCCAGGGTCTTGCACTACGGCCTCATCCAGCTGCAAGGGCTCCTCCGTTGCATCGCGGGGCACTTGGCAAAATCCCAACTCTCGGACCTTACACCGACAAGTACACAGCACTCAGCAGCAGACCTTCCAGGTCGCACTGGCGACTCAGCCCACTACGACGAGATCAGCCGCACCGGTCCCAATTCCGGTGGCACTTACAGCAGGCCGATAGGACGACTGAAGTTCGGCATAGTGCTTCTTCTGAACCAGGTTGTCGTGAATCAATCTGTAAGTGCAGACGTGAGGGTTGGCGGTCCTTTTGCTATGCCGCCTGGAGCCTCTTCGGAGGCAAAGCTAAGCAGACCACGAGAGGCCAGCATGCCTTTCCAAACCTGGACTCCTGACACATCAAGAATTCAAAAAAGGTCGTACCAAAGGGCCTATGCGCGCGCTGTCCGCGATGGAGGCGCATTCTATCGAGGCAGCTGGAAGCCACACGTCTGGTTCCAACGTGCTTCAGTCCGTCCGGTGTATCTCCCGAAATTTCGCAACACAACCCCTACATCCGGTACCAGGTCCATTCGCATGATGACATGGAACGCGGGTGGGCTGAGCAGCGACGTGTACCAGGAATTGCTCACTTTTGTGCGCGACCAGGGGATGGATGTGTGCCTTGTTCAGGAGACCAAATGGGCTGAGGACAATTGCTGGAGCTCGGTGGACTTTCACTTCATCCACTCTGCTGGACGGGGCAAGCTGGACAAGGTGGGAGGACTACTCACCATTGTTTCTACTAGACTCGCTAGACGGGATGATTTGCAATACCAAGGGGTCCACCCGGGCCGACTCTTACACGTTCGGGTACAGACAGGCAAGGTTCCACTGGACATCCTGAATGTCTACCAATATGCTGCAAACGACAAGCCCGATACACCTGATCACAGGCACCGTTTTCTTCTATGCCTGCAACGATGCCTCTCAAGCCTTCCTCGGCGTCACGCCCTTGTACTCTCGGGGGACTTCAACAGCACATGCAGTCCTGTGCCAAAGGTCTGTGGACCACACGTGCTGCCGGTTGTGGAATCACACAAGTTCGATTACATGGACTTGCTCCACCTATGTGAGGCGCAATCTCTAGTGGTTCTTAACTCTTGGAAGGCTCCGTCTGCTGCACATACTCTTGCCACCTTTACATTCGGTAAGCTCCAGTCGCAAATTGACTACGTGATGGTCAGGCAAAGCATGGCCAACGCTGAGGCCAAGCAGGCGGGGGTCATTCGCAATTACCCGGTGGCCAGCTGGCGGGAGGGGGCCAATCACCATGCAGTGGAGGCCACTCTACCTCTTCCTCGGCCTCATTGGCTGTCCAGGCCACAACCACCTGCTGCTCATAAAATCAACATGCCCCAGATGATAGCGGACCTAAGGGCTACCACTCCTACCCCGGCGCTACGTGCCTTCCGAGACGAGGTTGCAGAATGTGTCCAGCCGGACCTACACACGATGGATAATGTCGTCCTTCAGGCAGCGCTCAAGCACTACCCCAAAAAGGAGCCGCCGCAAACGCCGCCGACTCAACCTGAGGAACTAGCAAGCAGCGCTAGACATCTGTGGGCACTGCATCGGCAAATGAAGGCGCAGAAATTCACAGCCAAGGGCATCGTGGAGGCCTGGAAACTCTGGGCTCAGTTCGCGAAAGCTCACAAAATCTACAAACACAGGGCCAAAGTGCGATCGAAGGTCAGACGAGATGAACTTCTACAACAAGCACAACAAGCTGCGGACAGGGGCAACTCTCACGAGATGTGGAGTGTGATTAAACGCCTAGCACCAAAAAGCAGACACAAAAAGGTCCAGCTCTACAAGCACGGCCATCTGATGACCCCCACAGCGGAGTTAGACTGGATCGCGGAGGCTTTCGGGGAAAGATTCGGGGCCCAGTTCTCTAGCGAGCCTGGGGCACTTCTACGTCAACATGCGCCTGTTCAACTTCAGGAGGACTACGTGCTCGAGGAGCTCCAGAATATTCCTGTTCGGAAGGCTGTCCCTCCTGGGGCCGTTCCCGCGATTGCGTGGCGAGCATGTGCTGCACAGATTGTTCACCCTCTGGTCCGGAAGGTGAACGAAGACTGGCGAGCAGCACAGGTCCGAGTTCATCAGGATTGGGCCAAGGCAGATGTTGCGCTTCTTCCCAAAGGGAAATCCAATGCTAGCTCTCCACTGGACCTCAGACCCATTGGTTTGCAGCATCCGGTGGGGAAAACCATCATGAAGGTTGTTCTCTCGATGGCAAAGGAGGAAATGGTCGAAATGGTGCGGAAGTGGCCTCAGACGGCCTATCTGCCAGGCCGGTCCACTACTACGGCTTTGAAAACTGTCTCTGCTCACTGCGATGCTGTCAGAACACAATGTGCTCGTACCAGGCGGAGCTTGCACGACAAATACGACGGGATCACTGCCCCTGCTTTCACAGGCGGGCTCCAGGTAAGCCTGGATTTGACTGCAGCTTTTGATTTAGTAGGATGGCAGCATATCAAGCATGCGATGGAGATGGCGCACATCAATGAATCTGTTCAGGAACTTCTCCTACAGTGGCTCCGCCAAGTGATCTACGTGTTTCATCACGGCCGGGATTCAAGGTCGGTGCGGCCTCATTGGGGACTCAGACAGGGATGCATTGCGTCCCCTATGCTGTGGAGCATCTTTACGGCTCTTCTGTGTCAGGCTTTTGATGTCCAGCTACGTGAAAGCTGGTCGGGAGAACATGCTGTACTGTATGCCGATGACTCACACCTAAGGTGGCAGTTTAGTACATTCATGGGTTTGGAGAAATCCATCGCGGAGCTCAGGATCATTCTGAAGATCTTCGCTCGGTTTGGCATGAAGGTGAACGAGAAGAAGACCCAGGCACTTCTGATGGTCACGGGCAGTGACAAAGGGAAGGTGCACAAACACTATGTTCGTACTGGACACGAGGGCAAGCGTCTTCTACTGTCGCCGAAGGATCCTACCAGATGGCTACCGCTGGTCACTCAGGCTCAGTATCTGGGACTCATCATTGCCTACGATCGATTCGAGGCCCTCTCCACGCGCCACCGCATCTCCAAAGCGAACCAGCGCCGGTGGGCTCTCGCCCCGGTGTTGCACTCTCGTCGGCTTGGGGTGAAATACAAGTTGCAGGTGTGGCGTTCATGCGTGCAGTCGACGCTCCTCTACGGGCTCCATGCTTTTGGCCTGACGCCCAAGTTGATGCGTGAGATCCAAGCCACTGCGATGAAACATGTTAGGGCTGTGGTATCGGACCCCAGACATGTTACCGGCCATACACATCAGGAAGTTCTTGATCAATACAAGCTGGAGGACATGCACACCCTCATCAGCCGGGCACATGATCGAGAACGGGCAGATGGTGGGGACCCTGACTGGATGACTCTGCCGGCCTGGAATGATCATATCACCCAATGTTTGCAGGAAGTGGTGGTGGCCAAATCTGGCCAAGATCAGGACTCTGAGCCTGAACACTGGGCATGCCCGGAGTGCGATTCCTTCTTCTGCACGGCGGCTGCCTTGAAGATCCATGCACACAAGGCACACGGTATCTACAACAAGCCTCTTCGTATCTTCGATAGAGCTCGACATTCAGTCAAAGGATTACCTACGTGTAGGTTCTGCGAGCGGAGATTTGCTAGATGGCAAACGCTGGAGCATCATGTAAACGCCTTGGCTTGTCCCAGCATGCTTGTGGAACAAAAACTGGATGAGAGTGGTCACACCAGCATGGAAGTCCGTATGCCGAGCCTTCATATGGATGATGAGGGAGCTGAAAAAGACTGCGCTACCAATGATGTTCCCGCGTCCCCTACGGTGGTCGCTGATTCAAGACCTCTCGCGCAACAGCTCTTGGTTCAACAGACTGCACATCAGGGGCTCCGATTCTTCATACAACAGCCTCAGGTCACACGGCAGTTACACCAGCATTGCGGACTTTGTGGACAATGGGTGGCATCGCAAAAAGTGATGAAACTTCACTATCGCAACACACATCCTGAGATTTTTCCAGCTAGGCAGAAGGACATTTCACGAATTATTGAACTGAGTGCTACTCCTAGCATTCGCTGTCATTACTGCGGATCGTCGCCCAAGGACTGGAAAGCTCACATGTACAAATGTACCACCATTTGGCAATGTGCTGTGCTGTGTTTGCCCCAGGAAGTCGCAAGTGGCACCAAACATGTTCGGGCCTCGCGACCAGGAGATGGACGAGTTCTTTGGGGCGGTTCGTGCAGGGACAGAAGGGACCCCGGGGTACCAGGGGGAGGGAGATCAGAGCATGTTGATACCTCACGTGCTTCAGGTCTTTTCGGCTCCGCTTCAAGACGAAGGTTGGATTCCCGAGCCGCCGGATTCAGGCGAGCTACGGCATTCCGGGAGTGGCGGGAGGGCCACAAAGCTGCACAAGTTCGGCATAAACATGCTATCTCATGTTGATACCTCACGTGCTTCAGGTCTTTTCGGCTCCGCTTCAAGACGAAGGTTGGATTCCCGAGCCGCCGGATTCAGGCGAGCTACGGCATTCCACCACAACGCCCGGCCTTCAGCAAGAGTTCAAGCCCGGAGGGCGGTGCTAATAAGCGCTGGGCTGGAGTCGATAAAGAACGGAAAAACGGATCGTGCCGCTTGTATGGCCTCCTTGGCGTGCTTCGGCAAAGAGGGCAGGACTGATCCTGCCGCAACCTCCTGAAGATAAAAGGCAAGCGTGGCTTGATGTTGCAGCCTCATTCTCCATTGCAAACTTTCGATGCTCACTCCTGCTTGGTAGGCAGCGACAGCGCCGCCACCTCGCAACGACCCAGGGGTCAGGCGCAGAGTTCGGGCGATGCCCAAGGTATCCAGAAGGCGATCCCACCGCCGTCGATAGACGCCAGGGGACCCATGATACAATCCAGAGTTTCTTGGGAGCGTGGAGAAGACGCCATGGATGAAGCGCTCGGTCGCGGAGCTCAGTTCAAGTGTGACATGCTGTACTCTAGCTCCTCGCCCTCGTGTCTTAGGCTCTCGTATCTGCAGAAAACATCGATGGTCGTCACGCAGGAGATCGCACGGAAGCAAGAGGTCCGAGCGCTTCGCGCGTAAAACTTCTCCAATCCGACAGCAACCTGCAAAACAAATAAGTGTGCAAGCAGCCCATCGCCTCCATCCCCAAGCTATCGCTAGGCTCAGCATTGCTTCGAAGATCGGTTCAGGAAGAGGGGGGCGGTGTCGTGTAGGCTCCAACCGCTCCCAGCGGCTCAGCATCTCCCAAGCAGGCCTGATAAAGGGTCTGCAAAGAGGACAACGTCGTTGAGCTGTGGCTAGCACCTGTCTGTAATGCTGAAGTGGGTTCCCCTGACTGTAGAGCACCTGTCCATAAGAGCACAACATCTCGACCAGGATTTCGGGAACAGAGATAACAGTTTGTGCAGCCGCAGGTTCGGCTCCAGAAGCGATCCAAGCCAGAAAAGCTCCCCATACAGCGTTCTGAAGGGCAGCCGTCGAAGGCTCAACGAGCGGGACCTCGGAAAGGAGCAGAGGTGGTCGTTCGCGCCTCCTCCGAGGCCCAGGTGTCTTCGCTTCTCCAAACCGGGCTCCCGAGCACTTGGCACACCGAACGATATCCAGAGGCCGATGTCCTGGGATCCACTTAGCGTCCTGACAAATTGCCTGAGCCAGCAGAACACAGAGCTTGTTAGGGTAGGGTTCAGACCGCTTCGTCCAGCTGCATCCCGAAAGGGGTTCGCGTCCTCGAAGCCTCTGATGCTGGTGGTCTCGCGAGCAGCGGAGCCTCTTGCCCTGCAGCTGACTGTTACTTCGCACTCGGCTCGGTCTCTTCCACGGGGTGCCGAAAACGCAGAAGTCGAACAGGAAGTCCCAAGAGGTTCCCCGTTTCCAGAAAGCCCAACCCTGCTGTTTCCAAATCCAACTGTTCAAAGGGTTTTCGACGAAGTAGAGCAAGCCTTTGGTTTCGGAGCACCGAATCAAACTCAGCAGGAATTCTAAAACAGCATTGTCGCGTCGAACTTTGTCACTCTGAAAAACAGTCAACCCAGGCTTGCCCTCGGGATGCTCGCGCGACCTCAGAGCAGGAACAGCAGCAGCGGAGAAGCTAGCACAAGCAGGGCTCGCGCTGAAGCCTCTAAAGGCTCCCAAGTCAATCAGCTGCAAAAGCTCCTGCTGGACTCGTCGGTCCAACAAATCCTCATCTCGGCTGTGCTGCACATCGTAGCACAGGATCCAACATGGCGCTGTCCTAGCTACTTCCTTGGCCAACCCTCTACTCCCTGAAAAGAGGTCAAGCCAGCCTGGTCCGGAACGGAGAGCAGAGGGGAGGTCAGGGAAGGCGGAGGAGTAAACAAACCGATGCGGAGGCAAGCTCATGAGAAGTCCAATGGCTTCGGAAGAGAGCTCAATTGACTCCGGGGAAATTCCAACCCGGGACGCGGTGGAGCGTCGACTTGCAATGTGCAGGCTGGAGTGACTCAACGGCTCAACCCGAGGGGAGCTGGAGTCATGCACGCGGGGCTCGACCCGTAGGGAGCCGGAGGCAGAAGGAAAATGTGCTCGTACCCGAGCAAAAGTATCAAACGAGAGAGCTGTCGGCAGGTCATATCGCCGGCGCAGCTCAAGCTCCCCGGAAGGCTCAGCGATAGGAGTAAAACCACTCGCACTCTTCACAGAGGCTTCGCAGTCAGACGGCGAGGGCTCGCCGCGTACAGGTAAGCGGAATCCCGCTTCACGCAGGGAGCTTATCTGCTCCTCAGAAAGCTTTTCGACACTTCGGATGGTGTACCCGACCAAGATGCACCTGCGCCCAGTCCAAGCAGTCGTGGCGTGCCGGCGGTGCGGATCAAAGTAGATGGGGCCTTTGGAGACGTCAATGACCTCGCCACGGAGCTTACACCCTCCATGCCGCATCTCATGTTCTCCCCCGCTGCATTCAATCCACAATCCGCCTCCCTTGAACCGTGTAAGGGGCACGATGCAATTGACTTCGTCTTTCAAGTTATGAGCATCCCGATGCAGCATCGAACGCACGTTCGAAAGGACAATGAACGAGCTGAAAATGTGTTTCGGGCATAGGCGGGCTAAGTAAGCGCAGAACACTCTCACAGAGGCTGGGTAGGCATAAGTGGTTTTCTGCACTCCCACGACGCCCCCGTGAACAAAAGCTCCCGCACTAAAGGTGTAGCCTCGCCGCGGCTCAACGAAAGACCGAGCGCTGATCTCCCTAGGCAGTCGATCAAACAGCAAGACGAGGTCACAGGCTGAAACAGATGCTCGCTCAAGTAGATGTTTGGCAAAGTCCTCGGGGCTTTTGCTTACACGGCCTCTGCGTCCGGGATCAGGCGCTCGCAAAGGCAGTGGAGCATCGGGCGCCAGTTCGAGCTCGGAAGGGAGCTCACGCAGCTGGTCAAGATGCATGCCGACACTCTCAAGCCAAAGGTCCAAAGCCCGAAAATCCCCTTCGGAAGCAGAAGCCCACCATTCAGCCTCGGGCTCGGCAGGCTTGCGAATCTCGACATCTCGTGTGGGATCATCGGCAGGATTATACTTCGACCTAAGGTACCCGTATCGAGGGGTGACGTTCTGAGTAAGATGCTCGCTCAAAGACCGTCGCATCTCGCGGTTCAAAGCTCTGCTCCCGGACCTACCTTTAACCAAGCAAGCTAAAGCAACCTGAGAATCAAGCAGATGCATGTACCTCGAGTCGGGGTGCTTGGCTCCGACAGCTCGTTCAGCCCTGAGAGCTGCTCGAAGTTCTCCCACATTGATGTGACGCCTTCGGTTCGGGCTGACAGTCGGCCCCAAAGGCTCGAAGGAAAGGAAGGACACCAGGGTCTCCCACAGCGGGTGCTGCTCGTAGCTTTCCCCGGGCATCTCGTCAATCGTCTCCTCACTGTCACCTCTCTCCTTAAGGTACGCGGCTACCGAACCCAAAAGCCTATTCCAAAGCCCTTTCTGAAGTCCATGGCGGCACAACTCGACAGAGGTCGCTGCCGGGATCCTGCTCGCAACAGCTGCTTCCTTTGCAAGCGAAGCATCGGAACATACCAGCAGAGGAGCTCCCGAGGATCGGAGGTCCACTTCGCACAAGCAGAGGAGAGCGGCACAGGTTAGAAGCTCAGACCCCAAGCCTGAATTGATAGCAAAGGCATCGCTCGCCTCGCGCCCTCGTTGTTCGATGTACACAAACTCAAGAAGGCTGAGCAAGCGCCTCCGGAGTTGCAGACCTGCGACCAAAGCCCCTGCGAGTGCTTCCAAAAGGCTCCCACAGCAGACCTTGCTAGCAACAACCCGCACAAGCAGCGAGGCGAGTGGGATTACACGCTTAGGGTTCGGCTTAAGGAGGCCTAAGTCTCCATCAAGAGATCCACCCCAGAATTCGGCTCGCGGCTCACCCTCCACGGCTTTACCAGCGTGTCGTGGGAGTCCAGCAGCAGAGTACCCGGCTCGGACCTCGCGGATGATAGAAGCTCCAGCCCCTTGTTCAGCTTTCTCTCCGACACGCAAGAAGTCAAGCAGGAGGAAATCATCTATGAGCAGCCCAGCTATCGGATTCGGGCAACGAGGTGGTCTCCCTTTCAGTGTTGCAAAATCTCGAAGCTGCAAGGAGCTGCAACGCAAGATGCAAGCCAAGTGGGCCGTTTGCCCGTATGTCACGGCATGGGTGTCCCCCATCGCCAAAGTATTGAGGCATGGCACCATGAGCTGTTTCGAAGAACCCTTGCTGCAGCACCGAAGCGCACCGACCTCCTCACGCCGAAGGGCTAAAGCCAGAGCATTCCTGTGCCGCCTCTCCTGGGAAATGATAAAGGCGTGATAGAATTCTCGCAGGTCCTCACAGTAGACCCGGATCGAAAACCCTGGGGGCAAGTGGATGTATTGAAGCTGATCAAGAGACCCTAAACTTTGCAACCAAGGATCAGGCCCACTTTCGGCAAGGTTGGCAGCTCTGGCATCTAGAATTAATCTATCGCGCGATTCATCCTTCATGATGCTACTGTTCCTGGGCAGACCTTTCGGGCCCCTGTGATTCACAGGGTAGTTCGCGGAGCGAATGGAAGAAAATTGAGAGTGCGCAGTCTGTCGCGCTCAAAGCTCCAAACCAAGCATGCCAAAGCTCCGAAGCATCCACACTCGTAGCTCGGGACCCAGGCACCCTCTCAGAAGGAGGCTTAGACTCTCTGACCGGCGCCTCAGGAGAAACAGATTTTGCAACGGGCGACTCGGGGCCCTCTGCAAAAGAAAACTCGTGGCAGGCTCCAGACTTAACTGGCCCCTGTCCTCCGCCCGCCCTGCAAGAAGAAAGCTCGCGAGCATGGGAAAACTCAACATCCTTCTCGGGTGCTGAGGGAGCTCCGGGTACAGAGGCGTTCGGGAGGCACTTAGGGTAACCACAGGGTTCGGGACTATCCCTAGCAACCGCAGACGCAGAGATTAGGCCAGCAGCGGGTTCACGCAAGGATTCGGCCTCAACAGCTGTGCTACGGATTCGTGGTGCTCGTAGTGCTTTACGTGGCCAGCGACAAAGCTGGCTGACGGGAGGCTTCAAAGAGTCCTCTCCCACAGAAAGAAAACGAACTGATTTCCTCGGCCTGGCTGATACCTCAAACTCGGAGCGGTCAACACAAGCAGAGAACTGAGAACTTGAAAAAGGCGCCAAGGATCGGGAAGGGTGACCTGCAGGCTCATGCGACAAAGCACCCTCCGGCTCAAACGGCTTCCCTACTGGAAACTCCTCGGCAGCCGCGCCCCTAGTGGGCGAGAAATTTCGATCAGTCAAAGGCGCCACACACGAGTGCAACGCGACAGAGCTCACTTCTCTGTCCTCTCTGGCTTCTTGTCCTTCCCTTTGTCCTTTCCTTTCCGCCCTTTGCCGTCGCCTTTGCCTTCGCCCCCGGCTGGAAGGTCGCCGTGGGGAGGTTGAGGCGGAGGAGGCTGTGCAGATGACCCCGCTCCCAGACTCTTCTTGGCTGTATGGTAAGCGTCGCGGTCTTTGATGCGACTCATCAGCAAAGCAATCCACCTCGAATCCAACAGGCGAGTCTGTCGAGCCTCGAACTGGTCCAGGGTGCGGGGGCGAGCGAAGGCCCCGAAGGGCGGAGAAGCTTCGAGAGCGATCTCGCTGGCAAGAAGCCAGCTGCCGCCGTCGATGGCGGCTTGGTCTAAACTTGCCAATCCCAAAAGAGCTGATGCTTTCGCCGCTTCGGGGTCGTTGGCATTCAAGGCATCGATGATCCCTCCTAGGACCCAAGCTTGCCGGATAGGACCGGCGTAGCTCTGCAGCATACTCCTGTGCTCTATCCATGCTCTCGCTGAGCACGGGCGCCCCTCCAATCCGGGCCCCGACCGTGCGAGAGTGAAGTCCTCCGCCATGCAAGCCTCTATGGACCGAGAAATCTCCGCTGGCGAACTCTTCAAGAGCGCCTTGAGCCTTTGGTAGGCCGCCGCCTTCGAGCGGCCTCCACTGCCACTCACGGCGCTGGGATCGCCCCCGCCGTCGGAACGATCCAGCACATCCTCCAAAGAACTGCCTTTCTTGTCCCGGTGCATAAACTGGAGAATCTCGCTCATGCGAAGCACTGCGGTGCTGAGTTGAGACGACTCGCCGATGCCCCCTGCTTCCGGCTCCTCGCCCTCGTCCTCCTCGTCGTCGAGAGGATCCAGATTCTGGGTGGGCTCGCTCGGAAGCTTGCGAGCGCTCTGAGCAAGAGAGCTCATCTTCACAAGTTGAGACTCCGGCACTCCCGCTGCTCGAGCCGACCGGACGACCGCGGGGTCTAGGCCTGGCAGAACTTCTCGGCTCATCACACTGCGAACCTCCGAGGCTCTTCCAGCGGGCTGCTTGATGGCAGGTTTCCGAGCGGCCTCCTTTCCGGGCGGAGGCGGCAACCGAGCTAGCAGAGCCTCCATGCCCGTGCGAAGCTCTCCGATGGCCGCCTCCACGGCCGCCAAGCGAGCAGGTGCTTGCGGCTCCGGCTCCTCCGGCTCGAACTCGTGAGCGGACTGAAAAGCGAAGTGATCGTTGGCGACCGCACTCAACGCCGGCCCGTAAGGGCAAGCTGGAGCAGGTCCGGCAGCACTGCCCCCCGATCCGGCGATAGTGAAGATAACCTCGGCCCCCTCGTCCGAGCTTCCAAAGACTGTGGCTTCGCTGGCGGCTCCGAAGGATGTGCAATCTACGAGATCCGCCCTTAGCAGCCCAATCCAAACCTTCACTCGCCAGACAGGGTGCTGCTCCCGTCTGTCCGTTTCTGAGGCGGCCAGCACCTCCACCAAAGTAGCCCGAGTCAAAGCATCTGCAGGCAAGTACCTCCGAGCGCCTTGGCGGTGCCAAGCGGCGTGAGGCACAGCAACGAGATAAGTGCCGTCCAAAGCGGTGATCCCCACTATCTGGCATGAGACCACACCTTCGCCCTTCTCAACCTGAAGAGCTCCAATTCGAAAGTCAGACCCACTGTCGCACAATAAAAAATCGGCGAGCCCCGGTGGAGCCTGACTCCCGCCGTCCCTCTCGCTCTCTTCACCTTCCTCCTCCGCCATTGCCCGTTAGGGCAGGGCAAGGGAGTCGAGCAGCCGACAAACAGATGCGCACTTCTGCCTGCGACGGTAAGCCCACAAACACGGCCTGTCCAGTGTCACTCCTGTTCCCCTCAAGGAAGCACAGCTGCTTTACTCGAGAGAAGCTCGAAGTCACAATCGGAGTCGAGAAAACCTTCCCGTGATAGTCCCTGCAAACGATATACTGCTTGGAAGCCAGACGGAGGCTCTCCCTCCCAGAACTCCCGCGGAATCCTCCCGACAGCGCCCGAGTCAAGAATTTCCCAACCTCAGTCGCAATGTGGACCCTGAACTCTGAAGTGGGCGGCCCTGGATTGTCAGCTGATGACCCGTCCACAAAGAAAGCTCCGGGGTCCCTCGAAGGAGTCCCTGGCGCAGCAGCTTCAGACCCGCCTCGGCTCGGGGTCCTCTGCCACCTCGAAGGGGCCGGACTCGCTGGCACACTACTAGAGCTCACGACCTCGAATTCCCCAGCTTCCTCGAGAGCGAGGATTCGCCCTTCCAGATTTTCCAAGCGAGATCTCAAAGCTCGCACTTCAGCACGCAGAGACGAGAGCTCGCTGCTCATTCAAGGATGCGATAAAGCCTTTCAGGGATGGGGGCGCCCCAGCGATGCAAGGAGCGAGCCAATCGCAACCTCGCCAACAGAAGGCAATCGAAGACGGGAGCAAGAAGGACCCCCAGGACTAACCCCAAGAGGATCGAAGGCAGGTGGTAGGACCCAAGCCAAAGTCCAGAATCCAATTCCAGGAGGCCAGGCAAAGGAGGGACCAGGCTCGGCTCAGGAGGCACCAGCAAATCTTGCCCCGAACTCAATTCCCGGAGAACCTGAACCAGCAATCCGAAAACTCCTCCCGAGGCCCCCGACGCTGCCACCAACGGCAACGATCGCATGAACCACAAAGCTGCACAAGTTCGGCATAAACATGCTATCTCATGAATCCAAAACGGAGGCGGGAAGCTGCGGTACACACCGACTGGGGCAGCGGATCCGGATGGGGCAACCATCAGTCGAACTCCCACCACTACCCTCAGCACCATCACTATCCAAAACACCACGGCAGGGATCCCTTGATCTATTCTTTGGCAAGGGTCGTGCTTCAGCAGGAGCAGGAGATCAATCTGCTGAAACAGGACACATCGTTGGTTCTGTGGTTCAGTCCGGGGGGCGACTCGATTTTGGGTCATCTCTACCGTACAGCCCTGGAATTCAAAAAGAAGCAGGCTGCCGAGCCCACTTGGGGAATGGCCCACATGCCGTTGAAACAAGTTATGGCTCTCTCGATGTTTCGCGAACTAAAGGACCGCCACCACAAGGTTCTCAACACCAAGGAGTTGCTTCAGCGAGCATTGGAGATGGGATGGCGGGACGCTCAGGGCTGGCACTTTCAGCAGTGGAACCCGAAGCTAAAGCATCTGGAATTGGACAAATCTCGACCACAGCTCTCAGACGTGGACATGTCGAACAAGCTGGAGGTTCTGACGGAGCATGTAAAGAAAGATGTGGTGCATCGCTTTCACTGCACACGACGCTTGACAGAGACCATGGACAGCAAGGCCACTTTCAAGCTAGACCTCTCAGTTCGGAACAAACATGCGGAGGAGATTTGGGACATCCTGATCGAGCTCCAGGGCTGCTGCGTGTTTCAGTTGATCGGTTTGGGTTACAGGCGGGAGCGACTGGGCAAGGGACCTCTTTGCCAGAAGATACAGGAGCAGCTCCGGTACTGAGGCGCGTCTTTGTGAATCAGGCGAATGCTTGTTACATGAACGCTACGGTGCAGGTGATGGAATGGCTCCTCTATGTCACTGGTGATGGGGCGGATGCGTTGGGGACAGGCGCTCTTTTCTTCGACTCTGCTGAAATGCGAGGGCAATGTATAAATCTTATGCAGGTTCGGGAGTGGCAAACACTTGTCACTGGCTGGACGGAGGCTCACAGACAGCATGATATTGCTGAATTCTTGGGTTTCTGGTTGGTGGCATGGCTCCCCCTCTATTTCAGGGCATCTGGCAAGCACGCAGCGTTGCCGAAGGGGGACATGTACAATGTATCGACCAGGGGCCCTGCACTCAGATGCTTATGTTGCCACTACCTCGTGAACCACCTGGTCTTCGCGTGACGGTCAAGGTACAGTTGATGATTGATGCATGGCAAAATGGCCGGGATCGGACACAAGGCTTGCACCTGCCGCCTCGCATCCTAGCTGTTCAACTATTGAGATTCAGCCAACACGGGGGGCATGTCACAAAGACGCGCATGGAGGTGGAGCTGGGGGACTTTTGGCTCTCCGTTCCGACTTTCTCCAATGAGGGGCTTGAGCGGACACATGTGCAGTACCGAATGAGTGCTTATATTGTTCATCATGGGCTCACGCCTAGATGTGGTCATTACACGGCTGCTTTACTTGATCACTCTAAGGGCATCTGGCTTTGCGATGATAACCGCACTCCTCAGTTACATACATGTTCTCCGCCGTCTCATCGAAAAGATGTTTACATACTGATGTATCAACGTATGGACCCTAACTGACCGGGTCATGCTGATGAACGGCGGTTTTCTTGAAGTGCTACGCTCCTAGGCCTTACGAGGCGGTAGCACATGTCAGGAGTCAACCGAAACAGGTTGAGCGCCATAGTGCGCCGGGGACGAGTCCCGCTCATACTCGTCGCACGGCGGACCCTCTCCGCTGCGAGGAAATCTGAAATCTGCTACTGCTACTGCTACTGCTGCTGCTACTGCTACTGCTACTGCTACTGCTATTGCTACTGCTGCTGCTACTGCTACTGCTACTGCTACTGCTACTCGAACTCGTACGCGTGGCAGTAGTCGTGGTATCACGAATAACAATCACGCAACAGCGGCAAGCGCAATTGTAGAGGCAGTGGCAGTGTCGTTGTCGTCGTGTGAGAAGGGAAGAGTAGAGATGGCGGAAGTGGTAGGGCTTTGACAGTTCCGCGCAGACCTGCCTGCGTGCATGTCCAGGAGAATGCTTCGCCGCGACTTCACCTCAGGCTACTTGGCCCTCAAACTTGAACCATCGGTTTGAATCTTCAGCCCACTGCAAAACTGCAAATCAACTTGGGTCCCATATGCAACATGGCACGAAGCCTCAGAGTACAAACTAAGAGTCTGAATAGCTGAAGTCTTTGGCCGAGAAGCGAGGTGGCCAATGATGCGCGCTGCATGTCGACTCCACCGCTTGACGAGCGCAGCAAACCTTCGACGCAGAGACTGCGGATTTCTGTTTGGTAGTGCCAGGCTTGATCATACTGCATGGTTATTGACCCCGTAATCGTTCATGCTTTGCCGCTTGGTCTGCTTGTTTACACGTGCCGATGCATGTCTGCTGGGGGGACGAGGCACGTGATGCGACCACCTGAGATTGCGAGAAGTTTGCAGGGGTCTGTTCGAACGAAAACTCTGTACTATGCGTTGCTCGATGGAGTTGGCCAACTATGCCAGGACAGACGGTGGTCATGCCGACAGACGCAGATAGGTCAAGCACTTGATAGCGAGTTGCGCGGAAGCGCTATGTCAGCCATGGGTCGGTTCAACTAGTTCCGTCTGGACAATTCCGCCAAGCATCTCGAGAGGATGAATGCTTTCGTCCAACATCACCTCCCAAGTCGCGCAATCACGCAAGCTGCACGCAGAAACCTGCCACCCGCCTTTAAACGTGACCAAAGATGCTCACTAAACTCAGTCAATGCAAAACTCCGGACCCGTAGTGGTCACGAAGTCGCCCTGCGGCATCTTGACACGTGGACTGCAGATGGGCCTGGGTGATGCCCTTCCCGAAAATCGCATCACGCAAGCCAACATCTTCCTGGGACCGATGATCGCAACATCACAGATTGTTGAAATAGAACTGCTCCTGACATTTCCCGGATGGCCCTTGTGCTCCCCCAGGCTGATTGACAGTTCTCGCGCGGAACCGGGGCAAATCCGAGGAGAGGTCATCCGGCATATCGGACTCCATGAGGAAGTGGACTCCTTCGAGAATTTCTTGAAGCCTGCCAGAGCATCAAGATTGTCACTGCCCACTCGGGGAGGCTTTCCAACAGTTCACTGTGCCGGTGGCTCTTCACTTGCAAGCGAGGGGCTCCGCTCTGCGCATGGAGTTCAGCCTCAGCGAGTTGCAATCGGGTTGTTGCATCCAGCGGGGACGGTGTGGCAGATCCCAACCCCAACACGGCCTCAGCCTCGCAGCAATCTAAAGAGGCTTCACACAAAGACATGGGTTTCTGGCTCCCAATGGCGAATCCTCTCAAGTTGAACTATGCCTCACAAGACCTCTCTCCGGACAAATAAATTTCATATGTTGCTGAGACCTCTCGTCATCATTTTTGAACCCAGACTCTGCCGATCAGCTGGGAAGCACTGCAAGACTTCAAATCTGCAGCACAAAGGTGGTCATCATAATTGCCAAACAATGACCATGTGATGAGAAGGAGCCATGCGAGGGGTCCTTGCAGCATCAGAGAAACTGATTCGGTCGGCAACGCCAAGGGGCATCTCTATCAGCTGGTCGTAGCGTGCCAGCCGACTCCTGCTGCAAACAGTGATGTTGGTTCAATGCCTGCCTATCTGTCTGGTGCCGCGCTGCGAGGAATATCGAGGAATGAAGTTGGTGCGACGGTTGAGGGAAGAAACGCAAGTCTTGCAGAAACCCCAGCAAAACTTAACGCCAACCCCATCAAGTAGAACAGGAGACTATCCCAAACAGGGCCCCAAAACAAACACGGAATCTGGCCAGACAGCTATAGTCTCTCCAGTTCCACTTGTACAAGCATCCGCCCTTTCACAACTACTGCACGGACCGCGCGAATGCTCGACCGCAGGCAATAGCTCTGTAATCTCCCCCGTCTCGTAGCAACACACGGCCGAACTCACGTCGCTGGTGTCGAGTGCCGACAAGCTGTGATTGTGCTCTTCGGCTTCCTTTGCAGAGGTGATCGCCTCCCGGCGGTGCAAGTTACGCGAAAATGCTGCCTCCTCCCCAAGTAGACGCACCGCCGGAAACACTGGCAAAACCAGAAATGGTCGGTCCCGTCCCGCTCGTGACCACAAGTATCATTCCAGATCTCTGACACGATTATACACTACCGCACCATTCAGATCAAGCGCTCCAGGATAGCCAAAGCTTCGCTGTTTCAATGCCTTGTATTTTTCGTGCTTTCGACAAACTCGTGCCAAGCTCCCAGAGCCGAATCCCCTGCAAAGCCAGAAGAGAAGCAGACCTCACGACGTGAAGGAGAAGGGTTTCGAGCACGAGGACCGTCGCTTGGCTCTGGAAGTAGCCCGGCTCGGTGCACAGCTTCCGAGACTCATTTTGGAGGGAACGGTGCAGCTGACTGAGAGACACAGAGAGAGAGAGAGCGAGAGAGAAAACACCTGACAGAAAATGCAGCTTGTGCATGTATGTATATACATGTACATGTGTATGTCTATGTGCATGTGCATGCGCATGGGCATGCGCATGTGTATGTGTGTGCATGTGTGTGTATTACATATATATATATATATATATACATACATATGTGTGTGTGTTCACGCGAAGGAGCAAGGAGCGGCACTGCGTGAGAGCGATGGCTTTGCCTTTCACGCCCCATGTCCTGACCCCTTGGAAAAGCCGAAGGAATGCTCCACGAGAGCCTGAGTTCACGCCCAGATTAAGCCCTGCGTCGACCCGACTTGCCTGACGAACCGCACAGCACCTCGAACGTGTTCTGCCAAGGGGGAACCCAAGGCGTGCCTCTCGTCCTATGCTTCGCCAAGGCACAGCGGCCGCTTCCCTGACCCTTCGGAGGCTTCTGCGCCAGCCGGATTGCGCCCAGCGCTGGCCTCAGAAAGCTGTAATGAGAGTGCAGAGTATCGAACAACATCGTTGTTTCTCACCAACGGGTGCATCATGAACACAAGAGGCCTGCTTGTTGCATGACAGGGGACAAGTAGGCGCTCTGCGCACAGGCCTTCAGGTCCTGGAAATTCCGTGCAACAAACAAAATGTCTGCACTGCCGAGCTCAAGTGCTCATTGAGTCCTCGAGCTCCGCCCGGATGGCAGCCTGTCCAAGCTCAAATCCATGCGTTTCCATCGTCCATTTAAGGACAGCATGGCCTCGAGCTCTGTCTCAGGAGCTTCCAGGAAGTAGAAGCTGTCTCCCGCTGCCGTGATGTTGGTTTGCGCCTCAGAATGGACTGCATCTTGAGAAATTGAACTGAACAAGTTCCAAGCTCCGTTCATCCCTTCTTCCTAGGCCAGCACACCCGAAGTACAACCAAAAAACCATAAAGCACACAATTGGCCAGGCAGCCTCGCATTCGCAGCCAGTGCCAGACCTAAGCTGGACTAGGTCAGGCCCTGCCACTGCCTCAACTACATTTGATGTGCATGCCGAAGTTCGATCATCGCCAAGTCGCACTGTTGCTTTGCTGGCAGCTCGGCGTGCGATTTCTGCGTCCACGGCAGCTTCAAACTGGTCGATGATTCAGGTGCGTGACACATGTGACACTTCTTCTGTGATTCTATGCCATGAGGGCACGCAGGAAACACACACACACACGCATACTCGCGCACATGAACATCGAACAACCAAGTGTGATTGTCTGCGGTTCTCATCTCTGTTCGGGCCTCTGCCGCCCGTTCCTCGGGATCCTCGTCCTCTTCCTCGCCATCGACCGGCAGCCGCTTCTTGCTGGACTGCAGAGTGCAAGGCTCAAGCAACTTCAGATGTCCCGTCGTTAACTCTCCGGATTGCAGTTTTCTGTTCGGCCCCTGAATTGCTCATAGGGGGGCTTGCCTCTCAACTTGCCGCAACAAGTTGACACGGGGCGCTGGGCAAGAGGACTGCGCTCGGCACAGCCCTAGGCTCCAATCCAAGCGATTGAAAAGCCCCGAGGGGCGCTCATGTGGTCAGTGCTAGGAACAAAGCTGAGCAAAGCCATCTAGAGAGCGAGGCGTCGGGTTGGCTCTTGCTGCTTCGAGTACAGCCTGTCTCGATGCTTCCTTCGAAGCGCCGCGGAGATTCTCCAACCTGGAAAACAACTCCGATGCATCACAATGAGCAAACGAGTCTTAGAGGAACGACTCCCGCCCACGTTCCGCAAGAAACCTCTAGTTCCGACATCTTCACAGTTGCGTTTCACATGCTGAAGTCCTGAAATGACACCGCTCTCACTAGTTTGAGTTCTGTGTGTGTAGCTTTGCTTTGGAGGGTGTAGAAGAATCACGCCTTTCCATGGAGGACAATCAGGCTTGTCCCTTCTATGCACAACTTAGAACCCGTCGGCCTTGCAAGGCTATAGTTTAAGCGCAGCAAGTTTGATTCATGCGTAACCCACAGCCGAGAGGACTCCGATTTACGGACTTGACCTACAGACCCTGAACCTCAGGTTCATCAAGTTCAGTCAAGCATCTCTTGCGTCTTCTTTCGCAACACTTGCCGGATCTGTACAGCACTGTCGCTCAGCGTCGTATCCTCCGTGGGCGCAAAGGCTGAGGCTGATGCTGCCGACGAAGCTTTTCATGTGGTAGAGTGTTTGGCCCGGGCATGCTTCGCGAGCTGTGTGTGCTTCAATTCCGTATCACCCTTCACTCTGGGTCCAAAGACAAGCTGATTCGAAAGTAGGAGCAGTCCTCTGGCGGCGGCTCATTGCCTGACAGCAGGCTTGCGATTCTATGGCCAGAAACACAAAACCAGCAGCAGCTCCCTTCCTGTTTCAAGAAAAGCAAAGGGCCACTGCTAGCTGCTAGCAGGACTACGACAGAAACACAACAACTTTCTGGCTCGGGGATTGAATTTCATGAGCCGCAGCTTGGTGCCCCGTGAACCCCCTACTGCCTGCGGCCACATGCGCTTCCTGCAGGATGGCTTGCGCTTCATCCTTGCATGTGCAGGTTCGAGGTTCGAGCTCCCGCTGCGCCGTCGATCACGGACGTGCTTGTAAACGAGTGTAAGTGTGTCTACGAGCAGATCTCCACATTCATTCACACACCAAAGCCCAGCTGCGACATCGATTGACTCGAGTCTCCACATTTATACAAGATTGAAGCTCTACTTCTGGCATAGACCTCTCTCATCCTGTCAAGACACGTAGTCGTCGAGCTTGGCTTTGGCCTGCATGCGATCTTCGTTCAACTCACACAGATGTGCAGAGAAGCAACGAGAGGAGCTGAGAACCCCTCTTCGACAGGTGGCTCAGCAGCTCGCAAGCGCCTGAAGCCACGATCGACAACAGCTAGCCGCTGATGGCTCAGGTGCGTGAGTCTCGCAGTTGGGAGTTTCAGTAGCGGTTGAAGTGGCCCTTTGTGTTGCAATCAGCCAAAGAGCTCTTTCTCCAATTGGAGCTTCAGCTTGGCAACCTGCAGCCAGTTGGGAAAGCACGATCTCTGTTTCCTTACAACCAGGAAACCGATCTTGGGGAGGAGGCCTGCTTTCGGAGCTCGTCCATCTCCTCCGCGTCATCGAAAACTCGGCTTTTGGCCTGAAGCAGCTGCAGCACTCGAACGACCGACAGTCCAGTCGTGGAAGCCGAAGAAGGCAAGGTGCCGCTTGAAATTTCGGCTTCGAGTTCGCTCGCAGCTCCTCTGCCATCGAGTCACCTTAGGCTACTGCTCGGGCAAGCGAGTTCAACTGTCCATCGAACTGTGGCTCCGACCAGTGGAAACATCAACGAAAACATCGAGCCCTTCCTTCGTTGATACAACTTGCATTCGATCTGCCTTTCGTGGTCCCACGGAGTCGATGGGTAAGATGTAAAGGACGGCATTCATGCGACTGACAAACTCCAGCTTCGAAGCTCAGAGGAACAAGGAAAGCAATCGTCACCAGCCATGCGCCTCTCATTTTGTACACACTTCCAATTCAATCAGATCCCTGCCTTGCGAACACCAGAATCCGACTTCTCGAAACAAAACAGCACCGACCCAAGAGCCAAAGAAGCTCAAGAAACCAAAAGCCGTCCCAGTGGCTGCGCCGAGCCTGTGCCTCGGCGGCATCGCGGAGATTCTGCACCTCTGCAGCAACTCTGCGACAGATTTCCTCGTCCTCTTCGTGTACTGCCGGACACATGTGTGTGCACGCGTGCCACGGTCCCTGTATCACTTCGATATGCCTATGAAGATCTCTGGTCGAAGAACGCCGTTCCATTTCTTAAACAGGAACAGTCTAGATTCTGAAATGCGCTCTGAAAAAGGAGAACTGCTCCATCGTAACGAGAAATCAAGTCTTCTACCCCCTAGTGAGAAACGACAGAGCTGTTGTACTTTTCAAGGCAAATGACAGAAAATGCGAAGGTAAATCTCCTCCCAATGAAAACGAAGAGCTCATCTACGAGAGCTGTCACATCTCTTTCCAAGGTGAAACTTTCTAAATGCTTCCCAGCCTCAGAATCTGTTGACATTATACCTGCGCCTCTACTATTTCATCTTCAAAAATCTTAATGAGAAATGAACAAGCACTCCGCTAACACACATGAATGCCCTTATTGATTCGAAACGCCCAAAGCATTGCACAGCTTACACTGAACATGACTGGGTAAACGACAACACGTCGTCCCAAATTAAGCCGCCCCAAGAGCTGACCTATAAAATCCCGTAAAAGGAAGACTCTTTTCGAGCCGTTGCACGGGTCACCACATACGGGAGGAGCTTCTCTTGTCAAAAGGAGAACCAGAACAGCTCCTTTCATGAAAATGCATCCTCTCTTTTGCGTAAGAAACAGAAAGAACGCACAAAACAAACATAAAGAGGCTCTTTCCACCTGAGCCAAACAAACATGAGAAAGCGTATCTCTCGTCGCGTGACATACCATGGCTCCTTTATCTCTCACCAAAACACGTGAAAGCTCCGCTACCCCTACTCCATTCACATTCAAGACGAGGAACTGCTGCCTCCCACATAACGGGATTCTTCCCTTTCTATAATGGTGATAAGACTCTGGTAAGACTCGACAGGACTGTTCCGCGCCTTGGAATGATCTGGCACTCGTTTCAAGAAAGGACAACAAGATGCGGTTACCGGTGAGTGCAGCCGTAAATTTGGATGTGTTTCGAGCCCTGCCGATGTAGTACCATTCTTCGGCGGTCATGGATGGCAAAAAAATGAAAAAGAAAAACCTTTCAGATTAACATACGACGGCCCCCTTTTTGCATCACTCAGAAATAAAAAGGCATCCAGGAATCCAGGAGCACTCCTACGGGAAACGAACTATGAAGCATCAACGGTGCTCTAGCGCTTCGCAACAAGCCGACTCATCGCTTGTGCCCTGCTTGTGCCTACTGCCCATACTTATGACGTATGACACCTTGATCGCCCACCACCATCAATCCACAACACTCAAATCCCGCCTTGCGGTAGATCTTGCGGGAAGGGGCTAGTAGAGATGCAATTTTGCTCACGGGATATGCATGTCTAGCTTGTGTGTGTGTGTGTAATTGGTAACTTGTCGCTTGCATGCAGTTGTGTGCTTCTGTTCTCATAAGGTTCATACTACAAAGCTCGCTGCTATCATTTGTCTGAAAAAAAGCTATGCTTATCTACCTACCTACCGACAGACCTACGTCCCTTCACATCAAGAGAAACAGAAGCACAAAGATAGATGAACAACGGAGTATGAAGATAGATCGTTCTGTGTTCGTCCTGCAGTCCTTCGCTCGTTCATCAGTTTGTCGATGCAAGATAGGAACTTGAAATGGGACTTGCTTGAATCTGAAGAAAATCAGCGACCCCGTACATACATTACATAATTCGTGGGGCCTTTATTCTAGGACTCTAAGAACCCTTTAAAAGTAAGGAAACTTCCTTTTATCTTTTCGTCTCCAACCTTCCGGCTTCTGGCCAGCCTCACGCTGCAGCGTGGCAATCTCCTCCTCTGCTTTTTTCCTAGCAGAGCTGACAAGTAGAGAACCTTTCCCCAAAAGGACAACAACAACAGAAGTGAACGACCGCCGACTACCTGCCAGCGGCCGTAGCTTGGAAGCAAAATAAACCAACTCGAACAGACTTGGGCTGCATGCGTTGTGGCATGAACTAGGCCCTTGGGCTGAAGCGTAAGTCTTGGAAGGGCGCAGTTCAGACGAGCGAGTAACAGCCATCTTATCTCGGATGAGCACTGACTGCGTACTTGCATGGAGCAAACACAAACAGCTGGGGCAGCTGCCGTAGCGCTCGCTCTTCCTCGAGCTCGGTGCCAGCCTGTTCGGGATTCGCACACCGGCAGTTGTAACAATGTCAGTTGTCACATGACCTGAGACCGCAAATGCTCAGGGTCGATGATGCTAGTTTCGGTTTTGAGCGTGGGGCATGGACTCCACTGCCAAAAGTAGCATACCATGCATCCCCATGCGCAGACAGCATATGCCACGAAGACGGATCTACACAAACCTCATCGGCTGCTCTGCAGAAATCACAGCTCCCCTTTCAGGCCTGCATCAGAGCCTGGCGAAGCGCTTCCACGTTTTTGGCCGATGCTTGATGTTGCACAGGCGACTCGTCCTGAGCGTAGCAGAAGGCTTCGGAAGGCTCGAGTATGCTCGAGTTCTGCCTTTGGAAAGGCCCAGCCAAGGCTCGGCAGCTGGGGAAGTCTGCGATTTCACAACAGTCTTGGCCCATTCGATCATCTCCTCGCAATTTCAGGGTGTTGGCCATGGGCTCAGGATGCCAATTTTTGAGCTCCCACTTGGCACGACTGTAGCCCCGCATTGCAGGTGATCACATCTTCGGGATGTCAATGGGTGTCGTGCTCTTTGTGACGCGTCTTACAATCCCTAGCCAGCTTCAAGTTAACCCTTGTCACTTTGACAAAAACACGATTGAAAAGAGAACTATAACTAGACTGAGTACATCTGCAACAGACTTCGTCGTCAAAAGTCCTTGTCCGCCAGTCTGGCCAGGGAGTCGATGACGTTCTGGGAGCCGTGCTTGTTGCACGCAAACTGAATGCAGTTGTCCCTGGCACTGGGGTCCCAGTACGTGCCAGTGCTTCAAAACAAGCTTCAAATCCCGTGCTTCTCCTCATGCTGCGTTTGATACGAGATGCCCAGAAGTTGATAAATTGTGAGGGGTATTGGACAGGCGAGCCCAGTCGCAGATGAAAAATCATGTTAAGTCTTCCAGTACTTGAGGAGCTCCGCTCCGCATCAGCGCACGAGACACGAGACCAAGCCAGGTCACGCGCTGTCATCTTCTCGACTGCGGCTCAGAGCCTGCAAACCCCGCCCGCAGATCCCCCGCAGCTGTGAAGCTGGAAGATTGCACAAGCTCGGGCAGCACGTGAGCTGAACCTCAACAGTCTCGAGCTGCAGCTCCAAGTCTGCAATGCGCCGCTGGCCTCCGACAACTTCTTGTGAGGCTTGTGTCGTTATCCCTCAACGAGCATGTGTGTTTTGGTGCCAACTCCTCACACTGGAAATGACGACAACTGAAGGTGCACGACGGTGCTTGTAGTCTGGCGTGTTCCTGGACAACTTGTGGTGTGTAGTGGTGCATTCATGAAGACGGGAACACTCCCGAGCCGGATGAGATGCAGCCCAGGCACAGATTCTCAGCTTGTCACTGTAGACCTTCACCTGGCCCATCAAGGTCTGATTTGCTACACTAACCGGTCACAAGACAAGAAGGAAGTGAGAGTTGCTTCTCCGGGACTGCTTGCTGTCGAGAAGCACTAAGCGTGATCTTGTCATTTAACTGCTGTCGCAACTCCTCACATCACCGTTGAAGTTTAGGCCTTCTGGGCTCCGGCTACCCAGAGTTTCTTCACAAGAGACTGGTTTAGCAGAAGGACCACTGAAACAGACCCATCATTTTGGCACAAGTGATTTCACACTCGACTGGCGAGGTCCGTTTGGGCTCAAGCCTGCTCAAGCACCCCCTCCTCCTCCAGATACTCGGTCGGGTCAAAAAAGTAAGCTTCAACTGGCTCAAAATTCTCATCACCCTCTTGGTGCTTGATGTAGAGCTGGTTACCTGGGATTTCGCAACCGGCCGCCATGTAGCTGAACCGCGGTCAGGTTCTGAATTCAGCTGACATTGGTAAGTCCAGGTCAACTGAACACTTCACAATCGCACCCGTGCCAAGGCACGCAGATGTGTGATTTCAAGGAAATAGGCATACCTGCAGGGAGAACAGACAACATCATAAACGTGGCGACAGGCGCAGATGTAGCAGACTCACTATCAGTAGACACCATCGCATACAATACAAGCAATTTGAGGAGATACGTCCTGGCACGAAACATCCTGCATCAGAGTATAAAAAGGTCACGAGCGGTCTCGACTCCTGGGAGTTTCTCTGAAATCTGGGCATCTTGTGCATGGGACGGCGAGCGACGGCAACAGTGATTGCGAAGCGCGATGTGATCCCCGCGGGTCTGCCCGCCCAGATCAATCCATAGTGTTTTTGTGTATCATGATGAACCGTTGCCTTCCAAAACAGCCTCCCCGCAATAAATAAATAAGGAAAGATCATAGCCTGTGCTTTCTCAGGCCGACGGACAAGTCTGTTAAGAGTGTCAACTGTGACCGGGATCACATCTCAGCAGTGTATCCCCACATCTCCTGAAGTAATCCCCGATCTTTTTGATTCTCGTTCGGACCAAAGCGATACAAACTGCATGATTCTAGCGTGGACCCCAGAGAAGGACCACAGAAGAAAAGATCACTGGAAGGCCACAACGAGGCCACCACCCCAGAACGGTAAAACCAATGTAACGGCGATGATTTAGAGACAGAGTCGGAGTGGCGGAATGATGCAACACTACCAGGACTGGCAACACGATGTTCAAAACTCCTGCGCTGAAGACCATATCACCCGGACAAGCCGTGGCCCGGCTGGCCGGTCTTGTCGCAGTTCGAGCGTTTCGTGGGCCACAGACGTCCCCGGCCCGCCGGGCAGCCAACCGGCGATGGACTGTGAGAGAATGCCACTCTTGTCGAACATGTGCACCGCACAGCAACTGACTCAGTGGGAGCGGCGGAACCGCACCGGATGCGCTTGACTAACCAGGGTGCTACCAACCCAAAAATCCCTTTGCATTCCCTTTACACTGAAGAGGCGTATGAGCCCGATATCTATACGGCAAGTCTAGTCTGTCCATGCCGGGCACCGACAGTTGGAAAGTTGGCGCGATCGATCCTTCAGGTGGTGCTCCAAAGTCCTTGCGAGGGTTCAATGGCTGCTGTCAAACGTCGCTCTGCTCGAGTTGGAGCCAAAGCTCGTCATCCTTTCTTGAAGAGCCTGCAGCCACGCAGCCAGCAAACCACAAACCTCCGTCTGAATTGAAACATCTTGTTCCCAAGGGCGCGGCCTGGTTGAACCGTTCTAGACCTTTGGCTTTCGTGACGTTTTCCTTTGCTGTGCCCATGGATGTTTCACCGGCACATGTAACCACAGTCACATGGGAGCTGTCTGTGGGATCGTGAAAGCTTGCACGTCGCGCAGTTGCACCTAAGAGCACATTCTCGCCCTCGCTCCCAGCCGAGAATCGACATGCACGTTCGTCCAAACCTTGCACGGCCAAAGAGCACAGCAGCACGTCTCTGCAAGGAAGCGAAACTGCAGCTAAAACCCTCAGAACTTTGAGGCCCTGTCGCAACTAGCATGTTTGACCCAAGTCTTGTCCTAATCCTAAGGTGCTCCCATGTTCAGAGAAAAGGGATTGGTAACTCCGCTCGGTCCGGCGGTGGACGCCGAATCAGTTCCGAAATCCTATACTTTATGACGTTCACGGATCTGCTCAAAGTCACCACAGGACCACACTCTGAGGCTCGTCGTGTCCTAGGGTCCTCCACGTGATCTCATAAGTTCCTCCGTTACAGGGGCTTCGGAATTTTGGGACCTGCACATCTCTGAGCCACCGGCCGCCCCAAAGAGGCAGCTCACGAGTGTCTGAAGAGCTTCATCTACCTGTCTGTGCAAGACTGGCATATCCTGACGTAAACACGGTGTGAGCTTTGCAAAGCCTGGCTGAGAACCCGAAACCCGTCAGGACACTCTTGGCTCTTGGCTCGTATGAGCTGCCCTGCCTTGTCAATGCGAAGGTCCAGCACAAAGTGGTCGTGGCGAGCAAACGCCTCCGAGCCATCGACGAGAATGGACCACAGCTACACGAAGTCAACGGCAGAGGCAACACACGAGTCATCACGAGTCTGAGTGCAGAGTCGCGAGGAAAACGAGTGATACTCTTGCCCAGACTGTGGATGAGCCTCCAAATCCTCGAACTCCACTGGATGAAGCAGCGGGAAGTGTGCCTGTCCGAACGTGCTGGCGGAGAGGACGATGCCGTGGCGTCGCATGGAAGATTCTCCGAACATGCTCGTGATCGACGGCAGGCGTGCTGATCGGAAAACTCCACGACAGCACACTTTACAGCATGGCGCTATTCATCCGGAAAGTTCTCCGGATGCGCACCTTTTGGCAAACGGCCTCTCCTCGCTCCAACTGACCATTCACCTGCGCTTGGATTTGGCATGGGCCTTTTGCACTTGCTCCCTCACCCACCGACTCTCAGAAGCTTGAATGATGATGATGCATCAAAACACTCCCCGAGATCCTGGAGCCTTCTCCAAGCATCCTTGGAGGATGGCTGTGATGGCAGCCTTCTGTCGGCGCAGGGCCTCTGGATGTCAGGCCGTCAGGCCCATCTGGAATCTTTGGCAAGGCTCCATGATACTGACACGTGTTTCAAGAGAAGCACGCCATTGGTGGCAAACAGCGCCTCGCGAAAGCGCTTGTCCTGCCGCACACGTCGCTCCGCATCGTTGGCAAGCTCCTCCTGAGAGCTTCTGGATGCTACTACATGTCTGCGAGCTATCAAACCCGCCTGTGTCGGCTGAGGGCCCGGATCGAAGACGAACCTTGCCATCGTCTTAGGGACAAGGGGATATGCTGGTCATATGCCGGCTCAGTGCGAGCAATCGGAAAAAACAAGCTTGCATCTCTCACAAACAAGGTAAGGGGCGGTTCCAAGCCGTACGTCACCGTCGGCGCATTTCGGCTAACCTCCTCGTCATCATCCCAATTGCCGCCGCTCACTCCCATGGCTCACGCAGCTGGCCCATGTCTGCCCCGGAAAGAGCTCAAATGGAACCCGATGAATCTCACAATGAAAACAATGAAGCACTCTGTAAAAGGCCACACAACCCCGAACATATCGGAAAAATCCCCATGTTGACTTTTGAAAACCCCTGCAACTTGCTCTGTCTTCATCTCATCTCCCGTCGTGGGCTCAAGTGGCACGAAGCACTTCAATTATGAAGTCATGTGGGGAAACTTCCGACAAGTGCAGAAGAGAGACCAACCTGCTGCCTGCATGATGGTCCCAATCTCTGGTTCCATGGAATTCAAGACATGCCTCGTTGTTATACACACACAAGTAGGCGTGCAGGCCCAAGAATTCAATGACCTTTTTCACTACATGCTCGGACGCTTGGATAGAAAGTCTCGCCATAAGTGTTCACCCCTCGATGACAAACACTTGCCGGCCGCAGTTTCATCGATAGGTCCTTTGTTGCTCACGGAGGCACTATCCAGGATAAATTGCAAGCTGTGTCGCTGACGATGAGATGCCAAGGACCCAAAGGCACTTTTGTGTGAAGCAGCCGGAGAAGACAACAAGCTGCGAAAATTCATTGCATGACACACTGCGCCAGTCTTTAGACATCTTTAGACAGGGCATGGTCGATGTGACCACGACTCTGATCCCGGTGGATCACAATAAGGATCGCTCGCTCTGACAGGTGCTTGAAACACGGAAACCGAGCACCGAAAAGTTGCATAGTCAATCATTGTGGACATGGCGCGTCGGCCTAAAAGCTGTTACATCTACGGTGTGAGACTCGGTGACACTCGTGAAGCTTCATTGTCATGTTGTGGGTTTGGCTACAGGCCTATGTTCGAAACTATGACTTATGATGCCCACGGTTGTGGTCTTGGCGAAGTGCATCGCAGTCATGTCCTCCTTCAGCATGGCCTGGTTCTGTCCGTGGCTGTGGGCATGGCCCCTGTCCTAACTATGACCATGCTTAGCGCTGGCATATCCTCCATGATCATGACCATGGCTCTGACCACGGCTGTCATCATGACCACCGTGATGGTCATGGCAATGTGCATCGCAGCCGTGTCCTCCGTCATCATGGCTATGACTCTTGCTATGGCTGTAGGCATGACCACTGTCCTGGTCATGACCTTGCACAGCGTCACTATGACCATGGCCGTGAGCGTGACCACCCCCGCCATGGTCGTGCCCAGACACATCACAACCGCCATGTTCCTGGGCAAGGCAATTCCAAGGATCACTCCAAGAAGACCAAATGTCTGGCCCTAGTGCCAGTTCCTCGTCTGTGACAAGGCATTCCTGCAAGGCAGCCTTGACCGCCTTCTCGTCCATGTGGATCCCAATACAAACCAGCTCTTGCTGGCGATCACCGTACACCTCGTCCCAGAAAGGCTTTAGGCCTTCTTCCAGACCCTGCGGCCAGTCCGAACGAGGAACAACAGCCCACCAAGGGGGGCCAAGAGTAATGGCGAAGCTGGAACCAGCGAAAGCAGCGGTTAGGGACAGATTGTTGTGGCAAGCCAACCAAGTAATGCCTTTCAAACGAACCAGGTCCTGCATTGTACCGCTGCGAGCACAGGCAGCCTCCATCAAGGAACGCAATCTTTCCGGATGAAATGGTCTTCTGGCGCGAAAGATGAAAGAATGGATGCCATATTCCACGGATTCTGGTACATGTTCAGCATGCCTCGCTTCCGTCAGCCATTTCGGATTGGTCTCTGCGGTGTCCATGTTGAACCTGGCAACCTTGAAAATGCTGGCAGGAGCGAGCTTGCTGAAGGATGTCTCGATGACTTCAGCTCGATGGTTGATCTCTGCAATGATTTGATGGATCTTCGCGAGGTCCGAGGCCGACACAAGGTCCACCTTGTTGAGTAACACGACATCAGCAAACTCCACTTGGTCAAACAGCAAGGCCGCAATGCCTCTCTTGTCCTCCTCACCTTCATGCCAATTCCGGTCACGTAAAGCCTCTGCAGAGGACATCTCCCGCAAGAACGCAGAGGAGTCCACAACGGTCACCAGGTTTTGCAGCTGGGCAACCTGTCCAAGACTTACCCCATTATCGTCTTCGAAAGTAAATGTTTCTGCCACGGGCATTGGCTCAGAGATTCCTGAAGACTCGACGAGTGCATAATCAAAATCCTCGGCAGCCAGGGTTCGCAATCCCGTCAGCAAATCCTCGCGAAGCGTACAGCAAATGCAACCGTTGGAAAGCTCAATCATCATCTCATCCTGGCGAAGAAGTTTCGCACCCTCCAGTTGGATCGCATCAACATTCACAGATGCCATGTCGTTGACAACGACTGCGATCTTCATGCCATCCCTATTGCCCAACAAGTGGTGCAGAAGCGTAGATTTCCCTGCACCAAGGAAGCCCGAAAGTACGGTGACCGGAAGCTTTTTCTTGGGTACAATGGGAAGCTCTGGCTCTTCAGCGATGGCAGGCGGCTCGGGAGAGTCGGGAGAGTCAGAGCTGAAGCTGCTGCTCCACTCCTGTCCAAAGATCCCGCCATACTCAGCGCGCACCAGGCCGGCTTCTGCTGCGTTTTGCAGCACCACGGCCACCGCACGCAAGGCCCGGATTTCGTGAGGCCGGCTTTTGAGAGCATGCAGGGCCCTTGGCCACGTGTACCAATCGTACATGTCTTCGTCGTCAGAGACGTCCGCATCCTCCGGGGCACCAGCGGGTGGATTGACAGCCCTGAAGCACACCAGCTTCACACACCGGCCGACTTTGTACAAGGGCAGCTCTGGAACCGCCACGAGCTGTTCGATCTCGGAGCCTTCGACATCACACAACTCCTCGATGCACCGCTGGGCAGTCTTGGAAACATCTTCCTCCGGCTCTGCCACGGCAGTGGGGATTCGCATGCCGATCCACTGCTTGTCTAAGCTGCGAACCAAGAGGCAGCGACTACCACGAAGGACCAACGCTGCAACTTCTGTGCCCAGCTCCTCCATCTCGTCATCTTCTGCATGTTCCGGGTCGGGCTCTGAATCTTGGACATCCGCAGTTATGTCTACGATTTCAGCTCTTGGCTGCTTGGATCTGGGGTCCAGCTCAATCGTTAACTGGCAAACCCACATGGATTCACCAAGATCTTCCGAATCGCCCGGTGAAGCATCGCTGCCCAATAATGGTTGCAGACCGCGCAACATTGCAGAATCACGGTCTGCGCACACGTGAGACGTGACTGTCTTGAAGGCACCACCCAGAATGTCGAGTCTTCTTTGCTGCGTGCCTTCGGAATCGAAAATTGCATCGAGGTGCAGCGGATACTTTGCCTTTGGTGTTAAGGTGTAGTTGACACAAGAACCCGGCAAACGAGGATGAATCAACACCAGCCTCTTAATGGCTTCAGGCAGAATTCGAGAACTGCTCAGCAATTTCAAAGCAATCTGCGCAGTGCCCTGGCTGGCAATAAGCGTGGCCCCACGCAAGCATAGTCTCTCAATTGCACGCGCTGCCTTCGTTGTCAGCCCCTTGCCTAGTTTCTCTGCGGCGCCTTCATCATCAAGGACTTTGGCAATGCTCTCTGAAATGTTGGCGCATGCCAAGCACAAGTCGACAACGATGACAGCACGAGGGGCCGAAGCCGGTCCACTTGCTTTGAAGAGCCTATCCATGTGAGGCAGCATCGCTTTGCAGGCGGGGTGGCTGTCATCTGGCTGCAGCGGCGCATCTTCAGGCAAATGCAGAATGACCACTATCTCGCCGTTCTCTGGCAAACCTCCCACTATATGTTGGGGCTTCGGAGGGCCATACCCTTTGCTGAACACGAAATATTGAGGCCGGTCCCAGCTCGCTTTCTCTTGCACATCCACGCGGGCCTTCCTGGACATCTTTGACAGTTTTCTGCTGCCCCTCCTGCGCAAGCCTTTCAGGACATAGCGCACCCTGCACTGGGTTGGGCCTAACTACCTACGCTGACCTACGCAGCTCAAGCCAACAAAGCTGGACAGTATATAAACTGATGAGAACACCTAGCAAGCGTTGTGCAAGGCGTCTGTGTTTGGTACCCTCCCAAACCTATGTGCATGCGGCCGAGTGTGCCCATTCCATGGCGTTGGATGCAGGGGAAACGGGGCGTTCGCGAGTGCGTTCTTGCGGCAGCGCACGACGTCCACGCCGTCCAGGACTGGTGAATCCAGCTGCAACATTTCTCCGATCCCGCTGCAAAGTGGCTGCAAAACAGCTGCCAAAGTGGACAAAGAATTTTTCGTTATTGCGTCCGCGCAAAGTGTCCCGGCGACAACTACCTATAGTTTCCTACGGAGCGCTAGCGCAGCGGCAGCCGACTGGGGGCGAGCTGTCCGGTCCAGCACATCACTGGTTAGGGGGGTGGGGCGCGCTGCACGTGGAGCCGGAATAAGGTACGCAAGAATTGCTGGCACTCGTCGCTCCAGCGGACTCCTAACCTCAGCAGCGAATACAACAAAACCGTTGCCGGCCTTGTTCCGGGAAGGGCACGACTTGCAGCTGCGCGGTGCTACAGGCGCCGCCCCCGCCCGGGCGCCTGCTTTGTGGACAGCTCGGCCAGCGCGGGGGAGGATGCGAGCGTTGCGAGACAGCACAAGGCCTCCATGTTGGTCGTTGCTCCGTCAACAGCGAAGTGGAGGCGGTGACGGTCGTCCGCTGTTGCGGCACGACCGGACCCTCAGGACCGACCGGGCCAGCGCAATGGCAGGCGAGGTGGTGGTCCCTGCATGTATGCATCGACCTCAGCCCACAGCCAAGTCGGGCTGTTGCGATCATTGCGACGTGCATGAGGTCAGGCGTGAGGGTGGACGCGAATCGCCACAGGGCATGACATAGAAATCCCGTCTGATGGTCGCGTGCGCCTCGGTGACCACGCGTTCGAACCCTCATGCCGCGGGTTGGTGTTGCTTGGCACGCCTTTCGGCCAAACGGACTTCATCGCAGCCTCACAACTGCCCGGCTGTCTTTCCGACTCGGTGGATGCTGCTCGCCAGCCGACTG